TTTCCACTTTTGTAACTAAGACTTTGTACCTGGGTACTTTGTACCCAAGATGGTGCCATTGTGCACTTTTCACTGTGCTCTTGTACTCCATAATTGAGTACACGTGACAATAAAACCTCAATCTAAAATCTAATCTCCATTGTCACCTAGTTGAGTGGGACTGTTCTCTGCTGGTTTCATTCTTCTCTATCTAATCCTAGCCAGAGTCTCACTGGCAATGCCTTACCCTTACAGTGCCATGTTTCCCTCTGGTTTTGCCAAACAATGCAACCTGGGCCTCCACTTATTTCACATCAGCACATGCCCACATCATCTGAAAACAGAGTTTGTTGTTAAATGGACACTGACAGCTCCCAGCTCTGGTTCACCAGCATCTCTCCACTGTTTTTCAATGATCAGACAGTCTGTTTGCTATTCAGTGATAGGTGCACAGAAAATTTCTGAAATTAAATATTGGAAAGACTTTAGCCATTGTTTTAAATCCCTCATTCCCAAGTGAACCAGACTTTAAGCAGCTTGTCATGTTTGCTCCCAAGGTGAGGCGGCATGGTGGTGGTTCATCTCCACCTTCGGACGACTGTATGGAGTTTGCACATTCTCCCCATGTCTGTGTGGGTTTCCTCCCACAGCCCAAAGATGTGTAGGTAAGGTGGATTGGCTATGCTAAATTTCCCATAGTGTCTGGGGATGTGTGGGCTAAGTGGGTAAGCTATAGGAAATGCAGGGAAAGGGGAAGGGGTGGGTCTGGGTGGGATGCCTCTCTGAGGGGCATTGTGGACTCAATGGGGCAAATACTGTGCTTCCACACTGTCGGGATTCTATTCTATGAACAGGAGTGTCTCAGTGAGTTTCTGGTCACATTGATGATTTAAATCTTTCCCAACAGACAGAAGAGACAAACTCTTTTTGTGTCCATTTTCATAAATTGATTATGCATAGATTAAGTGATTCCGTAACGTCTTATGGAGATCTTTTGTTTGAGTTTCCTGTCTGCAGATTCCCACACTGTTATAGCCTGTAAAAAGAAATTTTCTCTCTCACTCTGGATTCAGCGCCCAATGTCCTACTAATGTGTCTCTTCTCCAGACTCACCCTCTTCCTGCCCTCAAAGTGGTGATTCAGGGCTCTATTCAAACATCCCTTGTGTTTACTTCCCAAAGGGTGGGCGTGTTTGTGGTGGACTCTCTGATCAGTCTCTTTGTTGATTTCCTTCTATCTCTGTGGTGATCAGAGATTGACTGGACCACCCACAGGTACAGCAGTGAATTCTAGACGCGTTGTCTATTTTAAGCTGAATTTCCAACTCCGTTCCAGTTTTGAGACTTTGTGCAGACTTTCCCATAACAAAACATGAGCCAATATCTCTCATGGACGTTGTAAAGGCTGCACGGAGCAGAACTCTGCTGACCATCCTTGATGGTGTCTTGTATTCCAACAATCATGTAAGGTCATTCATTACCCAGGCGTTTATCTCAAGAATCATTGGGATCAGTACAGGAGAGATAGTCATTCTTTTCTGGGTGGGGAAGTGTTGGTGGGGCAGTGAAGGTAGGTATTCAATCAAAACTGCTGTAGCTATGATGCATATAAAAAGATCATGGGTAACAGAAACAAAATTTATAGGTGATAATATTAGATTATTATAGTTAATCTTGACTTGAAGCATAAACACTTTGCCTGAAATCAGCTAATCAATACAGATTGTAATATAAAATGCATGATTTCTATATATTATTTATGTGTAACTTCAGATATTTGAATTTTAATTTAGTGATGTGGGTTTTTCTGTGTGTTGGGTTTAAAGATTTACCCAATCTCTCTGTCACCATGGTGATGTCTTTCAAAAGCTTTCCGATGGAAGTTTCCAAAGTTTTTTAAGCTTATGGAAAGCACCAATAGCGTTAGTTTCAATTTGGGGGCAGTCCTGCAGAAGTCTTCAATGAAGATGACTCTGTGAAGCAGTGTTTCAGATAAAGGGAGAAGACAGTAAAAAGTTATTACTGTCAAGTAAGTTTAGTAATAGCTCCAAATCAGGAAAGTTTGGATAAAACTCTGAAGAGGTTATTTGAAGTTGAGAACATTTACACTCAGATGCATGAAAGCTCCAGGAAAAGGCTACCACTTTGTCCAAACTACAAGTAGAAGTTAACCGGGAGTGGAAATTACTGTTAAATTAGAGAAGGCACTTTTTCTCCAGCAGGTGGTGCTTTTGGGATGTGTAAAGGAGTTGTTTTTGGGAACAAGCGAGCATATGTTAACTGTGTGTGTTTCAATATCTTTAAGTTTGTGTTATAAGCAAATAGTCTGGTTTCTTCTCTTTTATCTTCATTTTGTTTGTTTAATAAACATCTGTTTTATTATAAAAACCAAATCTGTAACATTATGTGCTTGTGTTTCAATGATAGACAACCTAAAACTAAAATAGTTTGGCATCCGACTAGTCTGATAATAACATCAGCTAGGACAATCAAAAGTGAAACAGAAGTGAGATGAAAAATAATATCAAAAATTACCAATTGCCAGCTGTAGACCCACAACTCTAACTTTACCAAATAATGCAACTCACAAGAACAAATCATCTTTATTTACTTTCGTTAGTAATGTTGAATGTTTGGAAACAATCACCTTTTACCAATTTTGGAGAACAGAAAGTCCAGTGGTTAATTCACATCTTTCTCCCAGGTCTGCTCTAACAAGCGTGTCTGTCCATATGAGTTACAGTTATACAGACCAACTCACTCAGTGATCAGATCTCACTGAACTATGACACAAGCTCTCTCCATCTGAGTCACATCCACACAGACTCAGTCACTCACTTGTTTAGGGATCAGATCATATTGATCTATGATGCAAGTTGTTTCTATCCATGTTACATTTATACAGACTCACTCAGTGGTCAGGTCTGTCTAAACTACTACAATAAAACCCTACATTAATATGGAGTTTTAAAAGTAAAATGTCCCAATGAATTTCACAGGAATATAAGAACATATTAGATCAGGTGATCAAATACCTGGGGAAAGGTGTGGGTTATCAGGAGTGTATAATTAGATCAGTGAAATAGAAAGGCAGAGGGGTTTAGCAAGGAAACACCAGGAGTTAGGGTTCATACAGCCAAAGACACAACCACAACACAATCATAAAGTGAATAAAATTGGGGCTGAAGGGCGCCATGGTATTGCATGTATGTGGGCCCAATTTCATTACTGTCCCTGTATTCACTGATACATGCAGCTTCAGAGACAGATTTTTTTTTAGTCAGGTTTAACTTTTGAAAACTTCACACGAACTTCCAAGATGCCTCTACCTTTGTCTCAAAGAGTCATAGAGTCCTTTCTATACTGTACCTAGTTCCTAAGCTCTCCCACCCTAATTAAGGCAAATTTCTAATGAAGTTAGATGTCAGCAGTGAATAATCAAGTTACATTGAGTCATAGAGTTGTATAGCAGGGAGACAGACCCTTTGGTCTGTGCCAACCAGATATCCCAAATTCATCTTGTCCCATTTGCCAGCATTTGGCCCATATCCCTGTAAACGCTTCCTATTCATATACCCATCCAGGTGTCTTAAATGTTGCAGTTGGAGCAGCCTCCACCACTTCCTCTGGCAGCTCGTTCCACACACGCACCACCCTCTGTAAGAAAAAGTTGCCTCTTAGGTCCCTTGTAAATTTTTCTCCTCTTATTTTAAACCTATGCACTCCAGCTTTGGACTTCCCCTACCTAGGAAAATGACCTTGGCTATTCACCCTATCCATGCCACTCATGATTTTATAAACCTCTGTAAGGTCATCCCTCAGCCTCCAACGCTCCAGGGAAAGTAGCCCCATCCTATTCAGCCTCTCCCTACAGATCAAACCCTCGAACCCCAGCAAAATCTTGTAAATCTTTTCTGAACCCGTTCAAGTTTACTAACATCTTTCCCACAGCAGGGAGACCAGAATTGAATGCAGTATTCCAAAAGTGGCCTAACCAATGTCCTGTCCAGCTGCAACATGACCTCCCAGCTCCTATACTCAAAGCACTGACCAATAAAGGCAAGCGTGCCAAATGCCTTCTTCACTACCCTGTTTACCTGCAACTCCATCTTGGAGGAACTATGAAGCTGCACCCCAAGGTCTCTTTGTTCGGCAACACTCTCCAGGACCCTACCATCAAGTGTATAAGTCCTGCCCCGATTTGCCTCGCCATTTATTTAAACTCCATCTGCCACTCCTCAGCCCATTTGCCCATCTGATCAAGGTCCCGTTGGGCTCTGAGATAACCTTCTTCACTACACCACCAATTTTGGCATCATCCGCAAACTTACTAACTATTCCTCCCATATAAGTTAACCATCATCCCGTTAGTGACATAATCTTGCAGCAAGGTCCAAGGGTCTTGTGGTGCGAGAGTACTGTCCCTACCTCCGTGCCAGAATGCTAGGCTTCATGTCACACTTAGCCCAGAGGTGTGTCAGAACATGTCCAAACAGTTAATCAAAGATAAACTTACCAATTTACAGCATGAAACTCATGACAGGGTGAGATGACCCTCCAGCTGTGAAAATGGACAAGGGATGGAAGTGGTTCAAACCCATTTATTTTCTGCATTAGTTACTTGTAAAAAAACTTTATATTTAGTTGAACAGTGACAATTTCTAGCCTTCGTCCTCTACCTTTTACCTATCTTGTGTGGATTCAGCACATGTAGTGCTGGATAGTCTGGTCTCCACTCAGTTTCTGAGCTACCAAGGAGAAAAATCTGTGCCAGCTGTACACGCGCAGGGGTAAACTCACCCCGAATGTGGCAGAACATAGAAAGTCAAGAGGTAAGAAATATACTGCTTAGGGGTTGTGGAGTAAAGGATTAGAAAGCATCCAGAATGCCATACTAAGCTGTGATGCAATCGCTCAGGCCAAGATCTCAAGAAATTACAGAGAGTTACGAATGCAGTCCAGTTCATCACACAAGCCTTCCATCCATTGATTCAATCTATACTTCCCGCTGCTTCGGGAAAGCAGCGAACATAATCGAAGATCCCTCCCAGCCCAGTTATACCCTCTTCCATCGGCAGAAGATACAAAAGTTTGAAAGCACGTACCAACAGATCCAAGAACAGCTTCTTCCCTGCTGTTAACATACTTATGAATGGACCTCTCATGTATTAGAGCTGATCTTTCTCTGCACCTTCTCTGTAGCTGTGACACTATATTCTTATGTGAGGTTTGATTTGACTGGATAGCACGCAAAATAATACTCTTCACTGTATTCTGATACATGTGACAATAATAAATCAAATTAAAGAAGTGAGTGAGCTTTAAGCTGAGAGAGAGTTCTCACTTCTCTGTCCCCTCTCTCCATCATTCCTCTCCTGGTCCAGTGTCACCCACTCCACAGCAAACCAGCTTGTGGCTAATCAATGACATGTCGGAAGGCCTCAGAGACAGTATCTGTCATCCTGTTTAAGGCAGCAGACATCTCCAGCACAGCCATGGCCATGACCTCCGGGGACCCATTTCAGAGCCATGCCTGAAGATCCATGGAGTCAACCACTCTCTGCAATGACGGTTTATGGAACCTCTTCCAGTCCTACAACACTCTTGAGTTCCCTGTGTCCCTCCAACTCTGACCCCTTCCTACCTATCACCTACATCACTCCACCATTGCTGACCATCCCTTCATCTGCTGGTACCCCGATCTCTGAAGATACCTCTCTAAACCTCTCTCTCCTTCCTTAAGATACTTTCTAAAATTGGTGTCTTTGACCAAGCTTCTGATCACCTGTGAAGCACTTTAGGAGGTTTTACTGGGTGAAAAGTTCTATGTAAACACAAGTTGTTGTTGTTATTGCCTTACATTGACAGAATCAGAAATATTACACAAATATTCTAAATCCTCAGACTACAATGACCACAGTCATTATCAGGCTGGAAACTTAAACCTGCCATTTAACTTTCAGTCAAGACCAGATCCCGGTTTGACCCCAACCTCTGATGTGACACAGCTCAATTGCAGCATTCCCTGTTGTTCTTGCTGGCTCTAAACCCAGTTGTAAAAGAGCTTATGTTCTGCATCTAGGAACTGTGAACCATAGAAGAGCACGGCTGGTACACAGTTTTTTTCCACCACGTCAGGATGAACCCTCACCTTCACTGCTGGATGTGATGAACAGCAGGAGAAAAAACAGCAGCATTCAATCCCTGGAGTCAGTCGTGAACCCGCTGGTGCTTCAGCAAGGAGGATGAGCGAGTGAATCCCTTCCCACACTTGGAGCAGCAGAACGGTCTCCCCCAGTGTGAACCCTCTGGTGTCTCAACAGGTGGGACGACCTCCTGAAGCCAGTCCTGCAGTGAGAGCACCTGAACGGTCTCTCGTCAGTGTGTTCGCACTGATGGGACATCAGTTCTCTGGAACTTTTAAAGCACTTCGCACAGTCTGAACATTTAAAAGGTCGTTCGTCAGTGTGAATTCGCTGGTGTGTCAGCAGGGTGGATGACTGAGTGAATCCCTTCCCGCACTCGGAGCAGGTGAATGGCCTCTCTCCTGAATGAAGGTGCTGGTGTGTCAGCAATTTGAATGAGTAAGTGAATTCCTTCCCGCACTCGGAGCAGGTGAACAGCCTCTCCCCTGTGTGAATGTGTCGGTGAGTTTCCAGCTTGGACGGAGTTCTGAATCCCTTCCCACAGTCGCCGCACTTCCACGGTTTCTCCATGGTGCACATGTCCTTGCGCCTCTCCACAGCTGTAGCCTCATCAAGTCAAACAAGTGTAAGGTTGCTCGCTGCTGTGAATGGTGTGGTGTTTTTCCAGGCTTTGCAACTGGTTAGAGCTCATTCCAGAGTCAATTCACTAGAACAGTCTCATTTGGGTGTGTTCTTTTTGCCCCTCAGTCACACTGATGTTTGAAATTGTTTTCCATAAATAAAACAGCAAGCATTTCTCTTCCCACATTCAAAAGCCGATGATTCCCAGGTCCTGAAGAATCGAGTGACTCTGTCAGTTCTTGATTTGATGTTTGCTTTGAGTCTCCCATTTGCAAATCAAATGTTACAATCTCCTGCAAAAGGAGTTGACAGCATCTGTATCACCATCAGTTCAGAGGAGAACACAAGGTTCTAGTTGCAATAGAATAATCTTTACTCTCTTGTTCCCCCAAACACATGGTACACTCAAACTAAAATAAGTAAACAAAGTAAAGACAAGCTTCCTAACAAAAGCAGTTTTTTGCTCCCCTGTATGTGAGACACCCTGCCCTCAAAACTCCCCACCAGTTGTGGAAGGTACCAAGCTAACAGGCAGACACTGCATGATCCACATGGACATGAACAAGACCAACACAACAAGGCTGACAGCCAGTTATACACAGCAGGCAGGAAAATAAAATGCAGGCTACAATCAATAAATGAAAAATCAGGGGAATTGTGGATAGTGTAGAAGGTTGTCAAAGGATACAGCTGGATATAGATCAGTTGCAAGAGTCAGGAAGACACGTTGCAGCTTTGTAAAACTTTGGTTAGGCCGCACTTAGAATATTACGCTCATTTCTGGTTGCCACATTACAGGAAGGACATGGAGGCTTTGGAGAGGGTGCAGAAGAGGTTGACCTGGATGCTGCATGGGCTAGAGGGTATGAGCTATAAAGAGAGACTGGAAAAAATACTGTTGTTTTCTCTGGCACAGGCTGAGGGGAGATCTGATATAATTTTATAAAATTATGAGAGGCATAGATAAGGTTGACATTCAGAATCTTTTTCCAAGAGTTGAAATGTCTAATACTAGAGGGGCATGCATTTAAGGCGAGAGCAGGAATAGTTCAAAGGAGATGTCAGGGACAAGTTTTTTTTTACTCAGAGCATGTTAGGTGCCTGAGCACACTGTCAGGGGTAATGCTGGATGAATAAGCAAGGAATGGAAGGATTTGGACCATGGCAGGAAAAAGGGATTAGCTTAATTTGGTGTCACGTTTGGCACAACATCTGTTCCTGTGCTGTAGTCTTCTCTGTTCTATAACTTACTTCAGTCAAGGGGGGGCAGTCTTGATAGATACATTTGCCACTTGCTGTTCCAAATTCCCAACTTTTTTGTGAGACCATCCACGCAATTGGTCTCATCTACCGTAGATTTAAAGACTACTGTTTAAATGAGGCCCCTGCCTCATTGTTTCAGGAGAAGTTCCTCCAACACATCCAACTCTCCCTCCTAAACACTGAATAACCAAACTACAAGAGAATAGGGCTGAAGTGTAACCTGACCCTGAAGAGCAGTTCCTTCAGGAAATTGTCCAGGGGCTCCTCCGAACTGTAGCCCCTGGCACAGGATAGCTACGCGGCCCAGGATTCCTGTGGATTGCAAGTCACTCCAGTGAATAGTTACATGGCTCAAGGACGCATCCGGATTCCAGCCTTTCCCACTGAGTAGCTACATGGCCCAGGGAATCCTCCGAGATTCAGGCTGGAAACGTGTGAAGCTTCCGAGAACCCCATACCCTCTGTGACGTTACCTAATAGTCGGCGCATGCGTCCTGCTCACCCCGGGTACAAAATTTCGGCCGTGGACCGGTGCCTGGTTCCGGGGAAACACCCCGGGGCTGTGAAACACGGGACCTGAAAGTCCCGGATCGACACTAAGACCTTCCCCAGGAGTTTAGAAACCTTCCCCGTCCGCCCGCAGACTCCACCAGACCCTCCGCTTTGCCACATCCTCACCGGCTGCAGATTATCCGAAGTAGCGTCTCTTACCCTCGCCATCACTGACACTGAGCATGCTCCACATACATGAGCGATACTGCGCCTGCGCCCCTGTACAGTGGCTAGGTGATTGTCACACCCGCAGAGGATGCTGGGTAATTACGCCGGCATTTACGGTATTGTGACTGAAATTATTACGACCTGGAGCTTTGTAGCGGTCTGGGGGTTGTGTTAAGGGCGGCTTGTAAAATTAGGAACAGATTATTGCAGGCCAACACCAGAAAGAAAGGTACTTTGTCTTCATATAATTGTTAGCACACAAAGGAAGGCCATTCAACACACAGTGTTCACATTGGCCCTCCTAAAGATCGTTTTCCAGTCCGGCACGACCCTAGCACACTCCCCATATTCAAGAATATCTTGAAATGTAAAAACAAAGTCACAGAAAGATGCCAGTCTAATCTGCCTATCGCGGCTGTGGGCCAAAAATCAACACACCCAGCATCTGAGATAACAAGGTGTAGAACTGGATGAACACAGCAGGCCAAGCAGCATTAGAGGAGCAGGAAAGCTGACGTTTCGGGCCTAGACCCTTCTTCAGAAAGCATTTGCCCATTTTCCAGCACTCAGTCCATATTCTGATGGGTAAAGGCACTTGAGATACATAGCCAGTCAACCTTTCAGTGAATTGATGGTTTCTGCCTCTACAATCCATTCTGGCGATGAGTTCAATCCACAACCACCCTTTAAGTGTAAAATAAAATCTATAACCTCCCTCTAATCGTTCCACCAGCTACTTTAAATTTATACCCCGACTCAATGACCCATGTGCACCTTCTGTAGTGCAATTAAAACCTTTCTTTAATGAGGTGACTACAATGGCATAGCTGTAGTCCGGCCTCCTTTCTCTTGTGCCTTAAGTGTTAAAGGGAAGTATTCCACCTGATTTCTTATCACATTATCGACCAGTCCGCCCGACTTTGGGGGTGATGGAACAACTATTCATGTTATGTATGAACTATTTGGACAAAAGAACTGAGGGCATTTCTGCTTAGTTTGCAGATGACATAAAGATAGGTGAAGCGTCAGGTAGTTTTGAGAAAGTGGGGAAGCTGTGGAAGAATTTCGACAGGCTAGGACAGTGGTCAAAGAAGTGGCAGATGGAATACAATGTGGGAAAGTGTGAGCCATGACGTGGAGGTGCCGGTGTTGGACTGGGGTGGACAAAGTTAGAAGTCGCACAACACCAGGTTTTAGACCAATAGGATTATTTGAAATCACACGCTTACAATTTGCAATTTGCACGCTTGCAATTTGTTATTGTCACCATTTACATATCGTCAGGAACATCAAAAAAAAATTAAATCCCCCGACCATAAAGAATGCCATCATTTTTGAACTGGCAAGTTAAATCAGCTGCCTTACTTCAATTCAGGAATAGATCCCACACTGACCCCAATCTCTGATTTGACAGCACATTTCCAGCATTCACTGTTGTTCTTCCTGACTCTAAACTGAGTTGTAAAAGAGGTTGTGTTTTATTTCTAGGAACGTTGAGGAAGTGACATGGACACATCTTTAACACACCGCGGGATTCACCCAACTTCCAGTCTGGACATGAAACATCAGCAATAACATCAAAATCAGTCATTTTGTGCTTGTTTGTGCTTCAGCAGTTCAGAAGACTGAGTTAATCTCTTCCAACACTTGGAGCAGGTGAATGGTTTCACCCCGAATGAATTTGCTGAAGTCCAGTGAAGTGAGATGAGCACTTGAACCCAGTACTGCAATAAGAGTTGATGGGTAATTGAATCCCTTCCCACAGTCCCCAAATTTCCATGGTTTTCTCCATGATGCCAGAGGCCTTGTATTTTTCCAGGTTGATCAGTTGAATGCTCATCCACACAAACAGCCTCTGCACAATTTATGCCCTCTGTGTAACTTTCAAAGCTGTATCCAAAGTCAGTTCAATTGAACACTCACTCATTCTGTGTAACTGGTTAAAGTTTTTCCTTTCCCGGTCAGTTCTTTGGAACTGTCTCACTCAAGTGTGTTTGTGTCTCAGTCCTTTTCCAGTCACACTGATGTCTGAAATCTTTTCTCTCAGACAAAACAGAGAAACATTGCTCCATCTACATTCAGAGGCTGATGATATTCAGGTTCACGTTAATGGAGTGATTCTGTCAGATGTTGACCTGATGCTGCACTTGAGTTTCACAATGTTACCCACAAAGGGGAGGGCGGTGTCCCTGGGATCTTCGATCCAAGCTTCCCCAACTGGGATGAGCCTTGGAGTCGCAGCTATATCACGTTCTAAGCACACCAAGTGCAGCAAATATGGCAAGTGACAGACCCGCTCATGCTTGTGGGACAAGATGAGGTGGTGCAAATGCTCCAAGTCCCAGAGAAGAATAGCTGCGGGCACACAGGCAATCAGGAGTCGCGCTCCTGCTGCCGGAGCGCATTGACATCTTTGGCCATAACCTGAGCAAGAGGAGCAGTCTGGTTGAGAAACAGAAGCAGGAGGAGGAGTAGGAGGACGAGAAGAAAGCCGAGCTGCAGAGGCAGCACAAGATTTTCTTTGCATTTTTTTTTCCTTACCTTCTGGAGAGAACTCGGCAGTGTGGCAACAAAACGTGGAAGCGGCTGAGGTCTAGTGCAAGTCCAGCCTGTGGTCGACAGTGTAGCACCTGGCAAATGAATTGACGGTTGGCAGCATAGTAGCTGATGATCCCAGGCAGGACTTTGCCCAGCACCAGTGAAAGTGCAGCAACTGCAGGGGAAAGCGAGCCCTCATGGGTAAAGCCCAGCGTGGAGTGACTGCAGGTCCATGGCTTAAGAAAGGACAATAATTTTTAACTTCTAACTTTATTTTTTTATTTTGCTACTTTATACCAATAAGAACTACAGCGATCAACTTTTTAAAACTTATCTCTTTATTTTTCTGATTTTGTATCTAAGATGGGCCCAAGAATAGCGACATTGTAAACCTTTCACTGTATTTCTGCACTTGAGTAGGTTACAATAAAAACCTAAACCTAAATCCACTTCTAATCTTTTGTGGCGGGAGATGACAGAACTGTTCATTGTCAGTATAGAAATGAAATTAGAAACGAACTATTCAGTAGGAAGAAGCTACCAATGGGAGTGAATGGGGGAAGAGCTGGAGGACCAAATGGGAGTGAAAGACCATTAGGACTGAATAGTGGCGGGGGGCGCTGGTTGACTGAGCCAACTATGGGTGGAAGTTTCATTGGGTGTTCAATGTATTTTTGGTGTGTTTCTGAATCTGTGTACCCATCCACCTCTTTTCTGCGCCCTCGTCAGCCTTTCCCACTCGAAGGAAAACAACCCCAGGATACCCATTTTCTCTTCACAGCTGAATTGCTCTACCACAGGGGACATGCTTGTGATTCTCCACTGCACACTCTTTATCGTGCAATCACATCTTTCCGATGGTGCAGCAACCAGAACTGGACAAAGTGCTCCAGCTGAGGTCTAACTAACTTTAAATACATCCCTACCTTAACCTCTTTGCTCATGATGCCTTTGAATGCCTTCTGAACAAACTTACGTACCTGTCCTGCTGCCTTCAAAGATCTATATACATCCACACCAACATTCCTGTAATCCTATTGTACTTGAGGTCCTACTCCCTTGCCTTGTTAGTCATCCTAAAATGCATCACCTGACACTTTACAGGATAAAATTCCATTTGCCACTGTTAAACCCATCTGACCAGCTTCTCTGTAACATTCCACAGTCTAGGTCTTTCCTCCTTGCTATTTACTGCCCTACCGATTTTTGGGTAATCTGCACAATTACTGATCACACTTCTGACATTCGTGTTTAGATCATTAATAGAGGCATACAGCATGGAAACAGACCCTTTGATCCAACTCGTCCACGCTGACTAGGTTTCCTAAACTGAATTAGTCCTATTTGCCTCCGTTTGGCCCATTTCCCTCTGGACTTTTCCTATCCGTGTACCTATCCAAATGCCTTTTAAATGTTGTAATTGTACCCACCTCTACCACTTCCTCTGGCAGCTCATTCCAAATAGACACTACCCTCTGTGTGAAAAAAGTTGCCACTTGGGTCCCTTTCAAATCTTTCCCCTCTCACCTTAAACCTACGCCCTCTAGTTTTGGACTCTACTACCCTACGGAAAAGACCTTGACTATCTTGACCTTATCTAAGCCTTTCATGATTTTATAAATCTCAATGAAGTCACCCCTCAGCCTCATATGCTCCAGGGAAAAATGTCCCAGCCTATTCAGCCTCTCCTTATAACTCAAACTTCCAGTTTCAGTAACATCCTTGTAAATTTTTTTTTCAACTTTTCCAGTTTAATAACATCCTTCCTATAAACAGGGTGTCGCAGAACTGTACGCAGTACTCCAGATGTGGCCTGATCAATGTCTTGTACAGCTGTAACATGACATTCCAACTTCTGTTCTCAATGCTCTGACCAATAGAGGCAAGTGTGCCAAATGCCTTCTTCACCGCACTGTCTACTGGTGATGCCACTTTCAAGGAACTTTGTACCTGCACCCCTTAACGTACAGCCCAAATAGCAAGGGACTGTGGTTCACTATTGGATGCAAGCTTCCAAACACAAAAATACCCTTCAATCATTACCTTGTGCTTCCTACCTCTAAGCCAATTTTGGATCCAATTTACCCTGGATTCCATGAGCTCTTAGCTACTAAACCCAGTGTGCCATTCGAAACCCCATCAAAAGCTTCAGGAAGTCCACATAAACGACATCAATTTCACTACCATCATGAGCACTAGTCAGTTCACACCAGGGAGAGACCATTGCTCTCTTCTCTGTGTGGAAAGGACTTTGTTGAGTCAACCAGGCTGCTGAGACACCAGAGAATTCACTCTGGGGAGAGATCTTTTAAATATCCGGATTGTTGGAAATACAATAAATATTCCAGGGAGTTGGTGCCCCATCAACATGTCCACGCTGACAAGAAACAGTTCAGTTACTAAAACAAAGTTGCTGGAAAAGCTCAGCAGGTCTGGCAGCATCTGTGGAGGAGA